TTTAAGCTATAATGTTGGGTGCATGTGCGTGTTTATGTGATATTCATATTTATTCCATTTCTTTTACTACTTCTCTTAGTCTCTTGGGATGTTTTCATCTATTTTGTCAGCTATTGGACTTCCTTCCCTGGCTTCCTTTCAGTCCATTTGCCTAGTGTATCTTTGTCATCTCTATGTCTTTCAACCTTTCAAATCCTTCTGCTTTAAAAGTCTCTCTGGTAGAAAATATAATGTCATATATATATATATATATATATTTTAAAGATTTTATTGGGGAATTGGGAGAGGGGAAGAGTGTTGGGGACTCGGGGAAGGGGAGCAGACAAGTTGCTGTTCTTTGGTTCTTCAGTCTAGTTGTGGAGGACGTCGCCTCACTGTCCCACAGTGTTATTATCATTGTGCTCTTCCCGGGTGAGGCAGATCGGTCACTGGCCTCTGGACGGCTGATCATGGCGGCTCTTGGCAGCTCACACCAGCTGCTGGCTGCTCATGCTGGCTGCTGGTCACACACAGTAGCTTATGGCAACCCACTGCAGCAAGGGCTGCAGCCTATGCCGTCGCCGGTGACTCACAGCATCCCAGCTCCAGGTTGAGCTGTTGTTCACCATCTTAGCTGTAGAGGGCAGTGTCACTTTCCCTCATGTGGGATCCAAACTGGGGCCCTGCTGCACAGAGCTGGAGTCCCAAGCCAGCTCATAACCAACGCGCCATTCAGCCGGCCCTGTCATATTATTTTTAATATCCAATTGGAGAATCATTTTATTGGTGAATTTAACCCATTTACATAAATTCTAATCATCAGCATGTTAAAATTATTTCTACTATTAAATTTCATGTTTTTTATTTCATACTTTCAGCTTGTTTCTTTTTTACTCTTTCGCACCTTTTATTGGATAGAACAAATGTTCTTCCACTGTTTTGAAAAGTTGTTCATTCTATTTTTAGTTTTCTGGGATATACTCCTCACACATTAATATGTATATTTGCCTCCATTTAACTTAAACTTATCAATATCTGTTTTCTCCCAAAGAGACATGTACCAAGTACATTTCACTAGCTCTGATTTTTTTCTTTCTGTTATTGGTATTGTCTAGAGTTTGGGTAATGGCTTATTATATTCTTTTCCTTTTTTTGGTCATCATTTATTTAGATAACAAAGAGCTTGACTGACTTATTTCCACGTCATATATCTCAAAACATTCTTTGGCTTTAGTTTTCTCCTTGCTGCAAAAATTTCTCCAACAATATCTTCCAAGGCAGGTTTTTGTGTGGGAAATGTTACAGAGTGCCTGACACTACCTGTAATTCACTCCCTCGTTTAAAAGATACCTTAGCAGTCTGAAAAGTTCTAGGGTCAAAATTACTGTCTTTCAATATTTAGAAAACATTTTTCTAGTGTCTTCTTGCATCCTATTGAGGATTCTGACATCAGCCTAATTCTCCTCCTATTAGAAATTATCTTCTTTTCTCTCTGGAAACCTCCATGAAAACAAGTCTCGACTTTGTTCATGGCTTCATCTTTAATGCCTAGACTAGTGCCTGGCCCAGTCCCTCAGTCAGCATTTTCTGGTTGGCTGTATGAATGTTATACCATTCTGCCTCCAGGGTTAGCGTTATTGGCAGTTGTGTGTTCACACTGATGAGCAGGGTAGGCATGTGTGGTGTGATTTGACAGGAAAGCCACCTTGAAGCCCCAACTAGTATTCCTATACTTATAATGATCAATTGACAGCATGGACCGATGGTTCAACTTCAGGGCAATGTCATGTTCAAGAAGCAGAGAAACAAGCCAAGAATTAATTTTAAAGAAACTCTCTTCCTCTCCCTCCTTCCACAGGGACTTATAATGCCAGTAACTCCTCTCCCTAGGGTCCTTTTCTGCTTATTCTCTGTATCTGCATCAAGAAAGGTGTCTAGCCAAAGTGGACAGTGAGTAGGAGCTGGGGACATGGATGAGAGAGGCAGAAATTAGACCAACAGTTAAAGAATCTGAGGGAGGACTTCTGTAAAAACCTTCTTGTTAATCATTTATATTCCTGAAATTCTAACCTGGCATTAAGTGTCTCCTGAGTATTTCCCTGTAGTTGGAATATACCTTCTTTTCAGCCTGTTCAATATCGACTTGCCTTTCAAGATTCAGCTCAGGCATTACCTCCAGGGGGCTCTAAGATAACAATTCGAAACTCACCTACACATTACATTTGAGTCCCTACCTGCTTGGTAATAAATCCATTTCATCCAGGTGACAGCATGTAATATTTATTTGGAAAGGATTTCAGGGAAGGCCTGATCTGACTCCCAACCAGTGCTGGCAGTTTTTCAACCCTGCGTAATATAATCCAACTCCAGACCAATTAGATAGAATCCACGGGGGTCAGGCTCAGGCATCAGGAATTTGCAAAAGCTTCCCAGCTGATGTTTATGTGTAGCCAGGATTAAGCACTCTCCTCCAGCATCACTGACCAGTGGATATCCACAAGGCAGCGTAGTGCAGTGTGATAGAGCACCAAGTATAATGACTTTGGGGTTTTAGGTTCAAACCAAAGCACAGAGACTTTCCAGATATGTGAGCATGGACATGTTAATTCACATCTCTGTGCTTGAGTTTCCTTATCTATAAAATGGGAATTTGAAAATACACTATCAGACCTAACTGTAGAGTTTATATGGACTTCCAGACTTCCATTAAGTAAACTTAAAAATGCGTAGGAAATTGCTTATACAATTTATAACCTGTGTACTAATGTATGTATTGTTTCTGTGATGAAGATTAAAATAGTACAAAAGCCAAAAAAAAAAGTTTTAAAACAAATAAATAAAACAAAATGGAGATAACAAAAATGCCCTCGTCTGAAGGTGGTTGTGAGGATTGCCTGAGAGAGAACCAGTGTTCAACACTTTGCATGATTCCTGGTACATTGCTGCTACTCAGTGTGGTAACCAACTTCTGAGGTGACCACAATGATTCTCATCACCTAGTATTCGTGCCTATGTGTAGTCTCTTCCCACACTGAGTATTATAGAAATGACGGGCTGCGACTTCTGAAGCTAAGTCATAGAAGACATTGCAGCCTCCTCTTGGTTCTCTTTCTGGGATCACTTGCTCGGGTGGAAGCCAGCTATCTACCGTGTTGTGAGGTCACCTGGATACTCTGTGGAGAAGCCCATGATGGGTGTGGCAGGGGAACTGAGGTTTCCAGCCAGCTTCCATGTGAATGAGCCATCTGGTAGACGAGCCTCCAGCCCCAATTAGGCCTTCAGATGACTGCAGCCTCAGCTGGGATCTTGACTACAACCTCACGAGCGATCTTAAGCCAGAACCAGTCTTCTAAGCTGCCCCTGAATTCCCGACCCACATAAAATCTGTGAGACAATATATATGTATTGTTTTAGGCCGCTAAGTTTTGGAGGGATGTGTTATGCAGCAACAGATGACCAAAATATGCTCAACAAAGCTCTCTTCATTATTATTATAAAGCACTTCCTAATTTTGAGCTGAAATCCACCTTCTCATAATATCCACCCTCTGTTCCAGTTCCGTCTTTTCGAACCACACAGAAAAAAATATAATCTCTCTTCCTCGTGGTCAAAATGTCTGGTGACGGATTTTATGCCAACAATTTAATTAGTCAGACATTCGCTGAGGAACAGTCACCGTGCCAGATGCTAAGGTTGCAAAGATAAGCAGTATAGTCCCCATTGGACTCTGCTCAGCCAACGCCACCCCATGTGAGAGGTGCTGTGATGAAGGGACCTGACTCCCAGGTAGAGACGTGGCTGGCTATACTTAGAGAGGTGAGGGAAGGCTTCACGGAAGAGGTGGCAGGAGTCGAGGCTTAAGGGATGATTAGGAGTTCACCAGGCAGACAGGAGGAGAAGGCCTTCCAAGAAGAGTTTACAAGCGTCATTCCCCCAACCACCCTCATCCTTCCACCTAAGCCCTTTCTTCTCCAGGTCACTCATCTCTTCCCCTTGTCCAACTTGACACAGTTTGGGTCCCTCCACTGCCCCACTTCCATCCCCAATCTTGGTAACTCCACTCAAGACACACCCTTTCCTCTCCCACTGTGAGGCCAAACCTCTTCCAGGGTGGTCTGAGACTGGCATGGAGTAGAGTCAGCCGTCACATTTCTTTTTCTGGAAGCTCCACTGGGTCCAGGCCTGCCTGAGGTTTTCTTGGCACCCACATCCTTTGGCTGACTCATGCTGGGCCTACAGGCGTCTGGACAGCTAAGTCATCTGTCACACGTGCTCCTGTGAAACCACATCTCCCCCAGCTTTGTACTTCTGCTGTTCTTTTGTTTTTACAATTTTTCATGGGTGTTTTGAAGTTCAATAAGTTGATCCACACAAACTGCTAATCTCAGCTCTCCCGGTTGGCAGGAGCAACGTGTAAGCAAACTGTGCCACAAAAATAACCCATATTAGAACACGCCCTGGACACAGAAACCCTCTTTCATTCTAAGGCCATTGTGGTGAGGAGTGATTCAGACTCACTGCAGCTCGAACCAGCCTTCAAAGATCTCACCGGATAAGCGGCTGTCTCAGATTTGAAGACGCCTTCTATGAAGGAAAGGCCACGAGGCGGGTGTGGACTGTGATGCTTTGCAGGAGCTGAGCACAGATGGAAGGAAATTGGAAGGGGATGTTTGCCTGGTTCCCCACAGCTCCCACCTTCCCCTGTCAGGGAGAATTGGGCCATTGTCTAGCGGGACACTTGGCTTGTTTATCTTCTTAGGCCCAGCTTGGTACAAGGTTTCACTCAGTTTTTCTTCAACCAAAAAAAAAAAAAATGACCACAGGAAGGGGCTGACCTGCCTTTGGCAAGTGTCCAGCTTGTGTTTTCCTCCATTTCTCTGCCTCTTTCCCCGATCACTGGCTTCTAACAGAAAATAAGAACAGCAAGCTTCCCCTTTGTTCCCATCAAAGGCAGCATTTAGACATTCATTCATTCATTCATTCATTCAACTAGTACTAATTGAGCACCTACTATGTGCCAGGCTTTGTTCTAGGTGCTGGAGATCCTAATGTGAAAGACACGGTCGCTGACATCAAAAAGCCACAGTTCTAGGAGGAAGCTCAGCAGTATTGGAGGCAACACGAAGGCAGATGGGAGCACCTAGAAGAGGCAGTTGACCCAGCTTGGGGAGGAATTAGAAGTTTTCCAGGAGAGGAGACATATGTGCTGATCTTAAAGGTAGAGTAAAACTTAGCCATGGAGAATAATAATTACTGTTGTAGCTTTTATTAAGCATCTCCTATGTGCCAGGCACTGTGTTAAAATCTTTGCAGACATACTATTATATTTTTAATCCTAACAACACCCCTAAGAGGTAGCTGCTGTAAGCATTTCAACTTCACAAATGAGGAAAGTGAGATTTACAAAGGTCAATTTGCTCATGGTTTTACTGGCAATAAATGGGAGAAGTGAGATTCGGACTCAGATTTCTCAGACTCTGGAGTCCATTCTTTTACGGCTGTGTATGGCTGTGCATGTTGTACACGGCACAACTCCGGTGATGGCCCTACTTTTACTGATACGTTATGCTTGGGAGGGATATCCAGGCAAAAGAAGCCTCCTTTACAGAAACATGAGAAAAAACTTATATTTGGGGAACTGGCTCTGCAATGCAGCCATGTTTGGGACAAAAGAACTCTTTGGAGATGGGCAGGTCCTTTGCATCTCCTGTGATTCCTTGTGAACTGGCTGCTAGTATCTTGGGAGAGCTCCCAGGGCTTTGTATTGTGTGTAGCAACCCAATTCTTCCTTCTAACAGAGCTGCGGTGCTCTCAGCAGGATGTGATATGGGTGTGTAGAGTTCCCTTCTGAGCTGTTGGCCACACAAACATTCAAACATATAGGATGCAAGTGGCCCAAGGTCTCCAAAGTGCTTAGTGTCCTACAAATGGTCAACCTGATTCTTATGCTTGGGCACCAGCTATAACCTGACAAACAAATCAGTTCGATAGCCATGCCATCTCAGCTCCTTTGTAGAAGTCGTTCCAGTAGAAATGAGCAGCCCAAGGAACTGGGCACATCCAGGGTGAATGCCTACAGTATGCCAGGCACACTGAAAACACGACTCCTGCAACGCTCACAACTTTATGGGGCAGGTATTATCACCACCTCCCACTTTACTGATGAGGAAACTGAGGTTCAGGGATGTTGAATAATTTACCCAAGATTACATATGTCATAAGCAGTCACAATTCTCATGAGAACTCTGGTGCCACAGCCCATATGCTTCTGTCTTAACATCAGCCCCCCAGAAGAAGGCAGGAAACACCTTGGATGGTTCCTAAAGCACCTGAGGGCATTTATTTGATGGGGTCTTCCTCTACTTTTTTTTTTTCCACGGATTTTTCTAGAACTGGGGTCATCACTCTCAAAACTCAGGGATCCTTCTTAGGTGGAGAGGCTGTTTTCAGACATGATTTTTAGACATGCATGATTTTGAGAAAGAGGTTCCATTACAGTGTGTTCAGAAACGGCAGGCAAGTATTTCAGAAAAGTGCCCATGTCACTCTGAGGCGCCACCATGAGTGCAGGTGAACCCCAAGTGGTATTGCCAAGTCTGTGGTATCTTCTGACCTTGAGTGCCTTTTAAAGCTTGGTCATAGGTGTCACAGAGAGCTGGGATAGTTGTAATGTAGGTGTCTTATTATATAGCCATTTTCAAGTTTTTCTGAGGCTTCAAAAGATTTCATTAAGACAAGAAGTGAAGAGAGTCTGTTGAGGATGTTGGAAGCAGGCTTTGGGGATGGGCTAGTGTACTTTTTTATCAAATAGGGCTGCTAGTCAGCCCCTACTTCTACTTCCAGACCCATGGGGGAGGCCTACAGCAGCCAATGGGTCCCCTCCCCTTCCCCACCTCCCGTCATTACAGCCTCCACTGGGACTCAAAACATGGAACTACCATTGTCCCCAGACACAGCTGGCCCAGCTGCACTCACATCATCCCTTTGGCCTTCACATGATTTCGGCAGAAGGTAAACACAGATCTGGCAGGTGAGCAGCAGGAAGGCCAGGTGCACAACGTTCCAGAAAGGCCGGAAGTTCCCACACTGTCTGCTATGATGACAGTTTACCTCACAACCATCAAAAGGCAGTTCTTTACCACTAGATTTGGACGGTTCTCTTCAACTGGGAGCCTGGGCCGCTTCATGAATGGGCAACTTGAATCAGGTACAAGAAGCTGTAGGCTCCCAATTAGGGGGGGACCCCCATTTCAGTCAGAAAATGTCACCTTCTAAAACCAAAGTGTAAATTTACTCATGTGTGTAAACTTTGCTAAATGATAACTTGTAAACATGTTTCTGGGGTTTCTATAATATCAGCAACAGAGCTACAATATAACAGAAATAGTGATTCAGTCATTGTAACAGGCCTTAATTAATTTGCTCATGGTATAAAGGACATTTGTAAATGTTTGTGACTGCCTAGCATCCAAGCCTTCCCACCATGTGAGTCAAAGCAAGCCTCACCTCCCACTAGGGAAGTATTAATAGAAAGGTCTTCTTAGGACAAGGCCAAATGTCCTTAGTTAGGATAATGGCAAATGACTTCGGCTGGCCAATCAGACACTCTCATCCTGGGCCTTAAATTGTGAATAAGTGAGGCAAAAACGAATGGCAAGTTAGGATCCAGGTGCATTGGAAAGACCTGGCTGAGGCATCCTGATTAGATTGTTCTGCTAAAAGATGCTTATCTTGTATTCTGCTTCTTAGGCCCCTGTTTCTATTTTAATTTTGTCTGGTTCTCCAGATTCTTGTAAACTCTTGGTAGCCTTATAATCTTTTTTCTGTTTATAATAGCCAGAGTTGTTTCCTGTTGCTCACAACCAAGAATGAACTATACACACATATTTGGAATGCACAGTCCCAGGTGTATTTCCAAGGGTTGTAGGGATACCTAAAGGACTATGGTCTGAAATGCACTGCATATGGGAAATGAGAATACAGACGCTGCATCGAGACAGGATTAAGTTCAAATCTCGGCTCTGTGATTTACTAGCTGGATCATCTTACACATGGTCTTTATCTTCTCCCGGCACCATTTCCTCATCTCTAAAATGAGAATGCTACTTACAAGGTTGTTACAAGGATTAAATGAACTAATAATTGTAAAAGACTCTGCATATGGAAAAGTACATGACAAAAGTTGGCTATAATAATGATGATGATTTTTTTTTTGGAAGGAGCAATGATGATGGTGACTCTTAACTTCAATGAATTTGTAGTCTGTAAGTCTGGCTTATAGTCACTAGTTCTTCCCAAACGTCCATGGTAGAGGTAACAGGGACAGATGATGTCATAGCAAAAGGTAATCATTTACGTGGGGTCTAGAGAACCAAAGCATAAGTACGTTTGCCAGTCATTGAACCAATAAGATTCACAGATATTTCTTCAGATATTTATTGATCTCCTATCATGTGCCATGGCCTTCACTGAGCATGGCTTCAGTGGTATCTCATGGAAAAAAAAGATGTATCTGGGAAAAAAAAACATACACTCTTTAAGAGAGCAGGATTATTTTTCTAGCCTCGAAGTCAATTCCTTCCCAAACCACCCTCTTTCTTTCTTTCACATGCACTTCTGAATATTAACTAGTTTACTTTCCCAAGGACTTTAAGGGCAGGAAGTAGATATCCTATTAAGTGTGGTTATTGTGAATCATTTCCCAGATTCTGGGCTTCCATGAAAAATTACATTTCTAAACTTACAAAGATGAAAAACAGATCCAACGCTGATATTTGACCCCACTAAGAAGCAGACAGCCTGTGAGACCTACCCTGTGCAGATACATACACAACCCAACTATCTTTTGAGCTCATTCTGTGTGCCAGGCACTGGGCTAGGCACAGGGAATGCAACAATGAATGAAATAGGAGGCCCCTACTCTCTTGGAACTTAGCCTACAGCGGGGAAGAGACATTCACCAAAAAATTACATAAATAGCCATGCAATGACAAATTGTGATATGTACTCTGTAGGACAAGTGCGAGGATCAATGAGGTCATGTAATAGGGGGCACTGACCCATCTAGGGGGTCCAGGAAGGTTTTCATGAGTAAGATCCCATTTGAGCTGTGATCTGAAGGATGAGTAGTAGTTGACTATGTGAAGAAGGGAGGAAGGAGCAGGTTAGGCAGAGAGAAGAACATAGATGAAGGCCCTATGGTGGGAAGGAACAAGGCCTAAGTACCTACATCCTCAGGTATGTTAGAAACATATAATACCTGTGATCTTCAATAAATATTAGCTAATAGAACAAATAATAATGTTAATCAAAACTAATCATTATTAAATCCATATTACGTTCTAGGAACTTTAGAATTTGTTAATAAAATTGATTAACTCTAGCTGCTTTAGCATAGAACTCCCAAATCTCTGTGGCTTAACACAACAAAAATCCCTTTCTCCCTTACCCCACAGGGAGTTGGGCAGCTCTCCTGGGTAACCTTCTCCAATTGGTGACTCAGGGATCCAGGCTCCTTCTATCTTACAGCTCCACAATCCCTCAGGGCCTCCTCAAAAGTCTTCCTTTGGGGGCGGCCAGTTAGCTCAGTTGGTTAGAACACAGTGTTCATAACACCAAGGTTGCCGGTTCAATCCCCACATGGGCCACTGAGCTGTGCCCTCCACAACTAGATTGAAAAAAACTGCTCAACTTGGAGCTGATGGGTCCTGGAAAAACACACTGTTCCCCAGTAAAATTAAATTTTAAAAAATTCTTCCTTAGATCTTTTCTACACTACTGCCCAACTAGTGAAGAAAGAGAAGGTGGAAGGTTATGTGAGACTTTTTGGAACCGGGAGTATATGTGGCATAAGACTACATCTTTATCAAGAAGCCGATTTAAGTGCTTATTTGCACAGGGTACTATTCTGGATGAAGCACTAACAGAATTCGATAGAGATGGTCACCAGATTTGGGGGTTTACGCTCCAACAGCCGGCATTGGCCAAGAAAGTCACAAATACAGCACATTCTGTTGAAGAGGACCATGAAATCCAGACAGAGATCGTCAACTGCCTGGGGGCCGAGAGGGGGCCAGGGAAGAGATTTCAAATCTCTGAGCGTGACTGTGTGGTTTGATAAGAATAGTCTAAGATGATCATTTTTTTTTAAAGATTTTTATTGGGGAATTGGGGGGATGGGAACAGTGCTGGGGAATTGGGGGAAGGGGAACAGACAAGTTGCTGTCATTTTGTTCTTCAGTCTAGTTGTGGAGGACGTTGCTTCACTGGCCCAAGTTGGCACCATCATTGTGCTATTCCCGGGTGAGGCACATCAGTCGCTGGCTTCTGGACAGCCACTCACTGAAGCTGCTGGCCGCTCACGCTGGCTGCTGGCTACATACGGTAGCCCATGGCAACCCACTGCCACAGGGGCTGCAGCCTACGCTGTCGCCGGCGACTCACAGCAGCCTAGCTCCAGGTTGAGCTGTTGTTCAGCATCTTAGCTGTAGAGGGCAGTGTCACTGGCCCTCATATGTGGGATCCGAACCGGGGCCCTCTGGTGTCCCAAGTCAGTTCTTAACCATCGCACCACTGGCCGGCCCTAAGATGATCATTTTTTAAATATGTTTTTAGTCATGTTGTCCCATTGATTTTGAAATTTTATATAAAATTGGAGTAGGGTGTGGGAGGAGATAATGACATCATTCAAAGGGAGTTAAAAGAAGGTTGAGAAACTGCATAAGGATAGGGAGTGACTTACAATCACTCCCTATCCTGGGTGGATGTTTGAGAGAAAAAATAAAGGAACAAGCACGAATCCTTCCCTTCCTTCTTCCCCCAACCCGACCACATTTCATGTTTTCTAAACTTGATGGAAATTTCCTCTCCAGTCTAGACTTGGTCTTTGGAGAGACAAGATTAGAGACAGAGAAGACCAGGAATGACGAATGACAGGGAAAGTAAGGAGGCTCTTAAATAATAGAAAATCGCTTAGAACGCAGGGGAGGAGAAGTTCTCAGAAGCCAAACAGAATGTTTGCTGGCAGGACCCAGACTTATGCTGAGGTGTTAGAAAGTATTACTGGGAGGTTGGAGAACCCACAGAAGCGCCAACAGACTCCAGAACTGAGTTTCAAAGAAGGTAGAGATAGCTTAGTGGTTTGAGGAATGTGACATTACTCTGGACAGGGCGTGGAGATTTGGAGTGTGGAGAGAGGATAAGAAATAGCTAAAGCAGATGGGCTTCTTGAGGGCTTCTACTCACACAAACTGCAATGTGCATTTTACCTGCTTTTAATCATCATGTGATTTTGATGGAACGTATACCCATTTGTCCCATCTGCCAAAGGTCACACTGCTGGCAAGTGGCCATGCTGAGATCTGAATGGGCCTTCTGGCCCCAGAGTCCAAGATGGAGTAGATGTGCCTGAGCTGCATGAACGTTTAATTAAATCTGCCGTTTGTGCAGTGGAAACACACACACAGCACAATCAGTTCATTTCTTCTCTTAACAGCCTAGGCATTAAATACTTTCTTCTTGACTTTTACTGGGCTCCCGCTTGCTTCCTTAAGGACAATCTGCTTGTTTCCACTTGAACAGCTTGGCGAGGAAGGGCGCTAACTCCTAGAAAGCTCCTGCTCACTGCCAAGGTGAGCCAACTGAAAAGCTGGTTCCATTTTCCCCCAGAGAGTGACAGTTCATTTAATTCCAGCAATAAACTGGCTCCCAGGGAGAAAGGACTGTTTAAAGGTCTGTGTCAATTACACGGTAATTATGAAATTCATGATATGACTAATCCAGTGGCTGAACCTATGATTATCTGACATAATCCGAGAATATGTATAGTGTAACAGGCTCTTTGCCTCCTATTAAAGAGAAGTCAGCTTGTGTCTGTGCTACACTACAGATGACTTCTCTCCTTTCCTAGATCTCTTCGCTCTGTGAAAGGGAGTAAGCATTTACCAAACCATTTCTGAATTAAACTCAGTGTCTTGGAAGTCCTATGGGCTACTTTTCATAAAATGGCTTGGGAATTTCAGTGTGTTGCTTTACGTAGTTGGAAGTACCATAAATGCCTTTAACCGTTTGACCTTTAAGACTTCCCTTTAGTGATTTGCATATCCTTGCCTGTACATTATTATCTATGATTAGACTACAGGCCATCATGACAAGCCTGTAACTTCCTGAAGCATTCCTTATTTATTTTTAGACATTTTAATAATTTCTTTTCTCTTAAGAATACTTTGTAAATTACAACTAAAATCCACTTGAACAAGGATCTGTAAACATACCAGTTTTTAAAATCGTGAAGTCGAAAATTATTACCCAAACTCTGAGGTCACTGACATTGTTTTTGGAGAGACATCTAACCATCTCTGAAATCTCTTGCCACCTCTCAGCCCCTTTCAGAGAAAAATGTCTGTGGTTCCTGTGTCTCAAAGGTCATGTTTTGTGTCCTGTGGCCATGCTTCCCCGGCCAAAGCTGATTGGACCAAGGATTGGCACCTGATTCAAAAGCTGCCCTGTCTTGGCTAGACAGCAGCCCATGAGATGCCCTGATACAAGAGCTTGGAAGAAAGGGAGCACCTTCTCTAGGATGGTGTCGGGCTGATTCAGCTGGACTGCTAGAGATATTGAGGTGATCAGTCAGAAGAAAGAGGAAGTGGAGGTAGTCATTGATACCTGTTGGAGTCTAGAGTCTCAAACAGAAGATACCTGCTTCCGAGAGGCCAGCAAGATAACCAGATATCTGTGTTGTATCTCAAATACCAGTTGGTTTTCTTGATTTTCCATTCTCTCACGTATTTCTCCTTGTAGCCATATTGTAAGCACCCACTGCCTGAGGAAACATGACTAGGGAACTCTATTTCTTGCCACCTGTGGTAGGCTGAATAAGCCCTGTCCCCCAATAAGTCCATATTCGAATCCCCAGAGCCTGTGAAGGTTACTTTATAAAGGGCAAAAATGGACTTTGGAGGTGTGATTAAACGAAAGATTTTGAGATGGAGGGATGACCCTGGATTACCCAGGTGCGCCCAATGTCATCCCAAAGGTCCTCATGAGAAGGAAGCAGTAGGGCCAAGAGTTAGTAGTGGGAGTCGTGACCATGGAAACCAGAAGTGATGTGAGGAAGGGGTCAGGGGGCAAAGAATGCAGGTGGCCTGGAAAAGCTGAAAGAGGCAAAGAAATGGATTCTCCCCTGAAGCCTCCAGGAGAAACCAGTCCTGCAGACACTTGGCTAAATCCTAGTGAAACTGATTTCAGACTTTGACCTCCAGAACTGTCAGATATAAGATAGTGCTCTTTTCTTGAGGAAGGCAGAAAACAAGTAACTTAAGCACTTGACAGCTCTACCTGTTAATGGGGCATTATGGGAAGTTCCCTGATCTGCCCTGAACGGATCATTTCAGGAGGATAGACGGCGGGGAAATAGGAGATTAGGTACTAAATTAAAATGACAAAAAAGAGGGGTTCATGGGGCTACAGTCACCCAGAGAACAAGCCATCAGAGCAGTATTTGTAGGGAGAATTTGACATCGTGTTTTAAAAAACAACATGAACAACAGAGACAGGAGAGAACCCTGGTAAAACTGAAACCACATGTCACCCAGGCCTGTTCCCATCACACAGTCATTTTTCATTAATTCACATTATGTCTGGAGATAGATCTCAGGGCTCTTGTTCATCATTTCTTTCAAGACATTCTCATTATTGTAATTGAACACACTCCCGGGTGCCATCCTAGAAGTAAGTACGTTCACGATCGTATACAATGTACTGAGCCCAGTACTTATACACATTATCTGGCTTTCCGACACACCTTTCAACTCTCCCATTATAATTTATAGAGAACACTGCGCCAGGTAGGCTTACCTGTCATTCTCCATAAAGGCCCTGATGAGAATTCTCTTCCATAAAGCTTCACGTTGTTTAATCAGTTCATTCTGCTAGTTCCTCACAAAAGGCTTTCTGCTGCCAAGGAAAATTAAGCCCTAAAAAAAAAAAAGTTTCCCTTCGTGTGGTGTCTTTTAGGATGAATGCCTTTTTCAAGGCAAGGACAAGGTTTTTATACATGCTGCTCTTTATCCCTTAGTAGCCTGAGTAGACTTAGAAATCTTTTTGACTGTAGTAATTAGGATTATTCTGATAATTACTGTATTGATCATGTTGATAATTACTGTGTTCTTAGACAGCAGAATCCACTGTAGCTACTTTTCACAGAACCAGATTAGAGCAGGGTATTAGGTAGCTTGGAGGTTTTCCAGCAGTGGCAGGGAAATAGGCTAGGATACCACACAGCCAGAACAATCCCAGGAGAAATGGCCAACCATCAACAGGACCGCTCTCCCGGAAACCCCACTGCGGCTGCTCACCACTCAATACAGTCCAGGCACGGTGTGTCTTTGCAAGGGTTGGAGTGGATAGCGTGTGAGTCAATCTATGGAATCTGTCACAGTGACCATATCTACTTCAGGTAATTTGTGTGACGGAATAGTGGCAATCTTGAAGGTCATCATAATAACAGGTAGCACATTTTAGAGTTCTTTCTATATGTCCAGCACTGTGCTAGATACTTTACTCGCATGATCTCATTTAATCCTCAAAGCAAGCCTATGAGGTAGGTACTATTTGTATTCTTGCCTTGTAAGTGAAGATATTGAAACACAGAGAGTGAATGAATTTACCCGAAGTTTCGTGGTGAGTACAGTCAGGATTCAAACTCAGGTCTGCCTGAAATGAAAGTCTGTGTTTTTAACTAGTGTATTGATCATACTTTTTTTATTATTATTATCTTTTTAGTCCACCTGGAAGGGCCAGCTTGACTAGCTAATCTGTGTTTACCAAGATTCTGGAAGGCTTTTTGCAAACATTGGGACTCTTGATACTTGCGTAACTGGAAAAAGTATTAGATATTCTAAATGTGAAATACCAAGGAAGAGGTACATCTGACCTGTCCTGGGTTATATTACCTTTGTGTCAGATCTAAGGTGACCAGCCAATGATAGGAGGTGTACCAAATGGAAAAAGTCAGCTAAAAGAATTTATCTTTGAAGAGAACGGAAAAAGCATTAAATTTCTATATTCAGTACGGTCTATACAGGTTGCTTTATCTGAAGTGGGGCAGGGGTGGGAGGCCCCTTCAAAAGACTAACCTTACTTACCTCCAGGCAAAATTTAAATGGTTTTCTTCTCTCTCTTAATTTCCGAAGCCAGAGCCAGCCAGACAAGACGGGGCGTGTACCGTTGCTCAACGATCCTGCCGCATTGCGAGCCTCCAGGCTGAGGAGCCAGTGCAATTAGCATTCCAAGGTGCCAATCATTTCCCCACCATCCGCGCCCGCAGCATCTTCTTCTGACTACAAAGGCTGGACTGACTGGCTTTCTTAATGGAAAGTGTACACATGAAAGATTTACAGAAACATTCTTAAAAGTTATAAATCCAAACATTGCGTCGTGTGTAGAACCCATTGAACTATATAGGACAGGAGACAGTTTCAAAAGAGCATGTGGTGCTGTGTCTTCCACCTCTTGTTTCTAAGTTAAAAAAAAAGCAAGAAAAAAGAAAAAACGGACTCAAACCAACTCCACTGTAGTCATGCTTTAATCTCATTCTAAACTTGAGGCATCCCGTTGAAGTGAGACCCACAGGGAACAGGGCCCAGCAAATCCTGGACCTCCTCCTATCTGGTACAGACACAGAACTTGTCCTGAACTGGTTTCCTTAAAGCTATCTTTTTTTTTTTTCCTTTTGCATACAGAGCAGTATTTTCCAAAATGAAGTATGGAAATCAACGTATGTGTGCGTGTGTGTGCGCACGCATGCACATAAATGGACTTTAAATGGTATATGAACAAATATACTTTTTATTTTCATACTTGTTAGTTTAAATGTATACTAAGAAAAATATATAACCTCAAATGTGAGATTCATGGGTATTATTCCTTATAACAAGGCTAAGAGAGAGAGAGAGAGAGGGAGAGAGAGAGAGAGAGAGAGAGGGAGAGAAAATCCCTGTAAGGAATTATATTCACTAAGTAGCTGTTAAATAAATTAATTAAATGGTACTGTAGTTAGCAACACAAAAAATGTTCAGGTCTTCGAGTGATGGAAGTATGGGAAACAGTCACAGGGCACAGCGCTGGACTGAGAGGCCTACTCTGTTATTGTCGAGCTGGGGAGATCTTGAACTAGTTGCTTCCCCTGGTGAACGTCAGACGGTAAAATAACAGGACATAGTGTGGGAAAGTGGGGGAATGTTCTTATTCCAGGAGCCCAGAGACCCCCAAGGTGTGTCATGTGCTGGCTGAGGAAGAAGGGCGAGGCCAGCTGTGCAGACTCCTCCCTCGAAGCTTCAGCCGGAGCAGCTTTCATTGGTTTTACATGTCGAGCTTCTAACAGAAGTTGTTTTGAAAATCGATTTTACTGATTTGCTTAAAATGTCTGAAAATGTCCCTCTCAGCCTGAAAAGATAATCATATTTTTATATTTCGCTTTTATAAATCATAACTAGCCAAAAAGCTAATGATGTTTAAATAAGCTCAAAAAGAGTGAGGCTTGTTTCAGAAATTTTGGCCAAATAATAACAGATGACATGTTTTGATCGTGTTCTATAATATATACCAGGCACTGCACTATATATACGTATACAGAGGGTGCCAAAAAAATGTATAGATATTTTAATAAAGGAAAAAATTGTATTAAAATTGTAATACTCAATATATACCGATAACAAAAGATGAATACAAGTCATGTGTATACATTTTTTTGGCACCCTCGGTATATATCCCAATGAACCTTGAAAAAATAAAAATGATCACAAAACAAAATCACCACTATGAGGTTGGTTTTCTAATAAATTCCATTTTATAGATGAGAACACTGGCTCAGAGAGGTTATGCGCTTGGCTCAGGTCACCCATTTTGTTCAAGGTCAGGCTACAAACCCAGGCAGTCTGACTCCAAACCTTTGTATGGCTGTGTTTCCTCCTGGGAAGGGAGCGAGTGCAAGGTGCCCTAGTCTGAGGACCCAGTCTCTTAGGGGTTGGAGGTCCCCAGAAATAGAGCAACACAGGTAGTCCCACTCATCTTAACTTCACATACACCTGCACTGCACATTTCTGGTTACCTTGCATTCATGACCCAATTTCCAAAGACTACCCTTTCATCTATTGTTCGGCAGTCATACTACAGGCATGCTGGTTTTGGCCAAACCATGGGTGATTTCTGTTTCATGGTGCAGTCTTTGCTGTGAGGGTTCATCTGTGTGTGGGGCTCATTGGCCGCTTGCAATGGAGTTAGTCATGTTCTGAAAACACTCTGGGTTTTTAGGGCAGGTCCCTGGTTCATATTCTGAGGACCTCCTTTATGATCCACAGTCACGTCCCTACTCCTGTTCTCACGTGGTTTTCTTTTTTCCCAGACCTGTGACTCACTGGAACACCATTTTTCTTCTCTTGTTCCATCCCTCCTTCATTCTACTGCCTGGCCAGGGTGGTGTGGGTAGGTGGGGGGTGGTAGCAGACAACCCCCTTTGAGATTTCCAAAGTGGTTTTTTTTTCCACTAGTAACCACGGAGGGAACATGATAATCATCATTTTTATTTAAAATTGCTAATAGAGTGCTTACCTTGTTACCAAACACCACTCCAAGTGCTTTACAATGAATAAATTCATTGATTCCTTATAACAACCCTATGAGGTAAGTCCTATCATGATCCCTGTTGTACAGATGAGGAAACGGAGGCACAGAGAGGTTAGGAAAATTGCCAAAATGTCCCTTGACTAATAAATGACAGGCCTTATATTCAAAACCAGGATTGCCTAGCTCCAATGCCCAGCCTCTTACCACTGTGTGTTGATGCTTCTCAACCGGAAATGGGTTAACAAAAAAATTACAAGAGAAGGCCCAAAGTTGGAAGTCGTCTTAATGCTTTATGTACTTCAGGACTTTCAGATGCCTCTTGCACACATTGACTGCTGGTTTGTGCTGCTGGGCTATGGACTCCCTCTGCCTCCTAGTGCCTTCCACATATCCCCCAGGGCCGGGGTCTTGTGTAGACCGGTCAGAGAGGCTAGCAATTAGTACTCTGCCCAATCTTCCCAGATCTTTTGATCATTTTGGTGGTTTCTCCACAGTTTTAAGCATGCTTTTGTTGACAATGGCCTGCACCTGTGACTGTTCCCTGGGGACCTGTCCTGGGGCTACTGGAGCCACTCTTACCTCAAGGGCAAAGTTCTGGAAGTTTTCACCCGCCTGGCTTGGCTCATAGCAGATAGATGCTGACTGATGGGAAGTACAATTGCCTTCCGTTGAAATAGACTCAGGTGTCACTTGTATTCCAGAGTCACCCGCAGCATAGGGCTGAATGGCAGTCTCGCTGGTTGCTTCCTCTCCCCACTCCCCCTACTCCCTTTACTGATTTCTCCTGGGAGCCCTTGCTTAATAAATCACCTACACACAATTCCTCACCTTTGTCCCCGGGAAACCCAACCTAGAAAAATAGTTTAAAAAAAGAAACACACCTTCAAGGTTAAAACCAATAGTTACCCCTGGTTTCAGTGTAATGTTATAGAGTCAGACCCATTCCTTCTTAGCATCCTGAAGGATTTAGTGCTCAGTTTAGCATTTTATTTAAACCCTCATTCATCTTTTTTTTTAAACTATTTTTTATCCGTTACTCCTGCTGAAGAACTTCTGCTCTATGGATCTTTGGTGTCAAACCTTTTTTTGTTTGTTTGTTTCTTTAATTGGGGAATTGGGGGAGGGAAACAGTGTTGGTGAATTGGGGAAGGGGACCAGCCAAGTTGTTGTTCTTCAGTCTTCATTGTGGAGGGCTCCAGTTGCTATCTGGCTGCCCGTCGGCAGCTCATGGCCTCTAAACTCAAGGTGCTGTGTTCAGTCTTAGTTGCGGGTGGGTGTAGCTGCCATCCCATGCGGGAGTCGAACCAGCAGCCTTGTTGTTAAGAATGCGTGCTCTATCCACTGAGCCATCTGGGCAGCAGCTCAGCTCAAGGTGCCGAGTTCAGTCTTAGTTGTGGGTGGGAGTTGCCCACCATCGAACAGGCAATCTTGTTGTTACACCAGCTGAGCCATCCTGCCACTTGTTGGCAGCTCAGCGACAGCTCAGCTCGAGTGCATCATCACTGGCCCATGTGGGAATTGAACTAGCGGCCCTGTTGCTCAGAGCTCACGCTCTTAAGCCAACTCTTAACCAACTGAGCCACTCAGCTGGCCCTCTCATTCACCTTTTTAAGAGTTAATGGTACGCAATCTTTATAGCGCTCTTTCATTTCATTTCTTTTTAAATTCAAGTTTATTAGGGTAACAATTGTTAGCAAAGTTACATAGATTTAAGGTGTACAATTCTGTAACATATCATCTATATATCACATTTATGTGTTCACCACCCAGAAGTTCTTTCATTTCTTTGGAAAGTTTCTGCAATTCTGCCTCTCTCTAGGGGCTAACTGGTAAGGATTGCCTTAAATTGGGGTTAAGATTTTTGTGTTGTTCCCAATCCTCCACCACCTTTCAGGAAGCAGCATCTCAAGTTGTTCTTATGCACATGCATGCACACACACACATGCACATGTGCACACATGAACACAAACACATGTGCATATACAGATCGCATACATGTATATATATATATACATGTACACACACATACTTACACACATTGATGTACCATAGCTAGGATGCAGTCTCCTGCCCGCCTAACCAGTTCTCTGAGGAATTTCCTGATGCTTCCCAGCAGAGTATGAAGACTCTGATGGCTGTCAACAGAGTGTCCAGTGTGGTTCTGAACCAAATGACATAATCTTGACTACAATGAGAAAAAGAGAAGGCACTGAGATAAAAAGAAGGCAAGCTGCAAAATTTCTTTGGGCAGCTTTTAAATACAACTGGCCTGTTCAATCATCCTAACAGTTTTTCTAAAGTCTAAAGGGACATCCAAAATTACGTTTAATTAAATGTTGAGTATAGCTTACATATTCATGTTAAATCACACTTATAATACAGTACGTTGTGAATAGAGCTATATTTATTACTGTGCTGTCTGTACATTTTTAAATGCCTTGAAGCCCCTTGGGTGGATATTTATGCTCTGGAGCATAATTTTACGTTTTAAAAGATACAGACTTTTATAGTTGCTGTATCTGGTTTTCTGACACATTGCTGATCATATCAAAAAATGTATGAGCTTCATAGTCCTGAGTCAAGCACACTACTTCTAATTATTATACTGGTTAAATGAGAAAATATTGTCTTACCATATGACATTTTGGCACAATAGTTAAATGCCAGGCTTTATAGTTAGAGAGTTTGGGTTCAAATCTTGGTTCTAACTTCCTACTGTGAACATTTCCCTCTGTAAATCTCACTCTACTGACCGATAAAATAGATATAATAATAATTAACTCACAGGGCTGTTGCCATGTTGCCTGTAAACTCCTCAGCGTAGTGCTTGGCAGCACATAGTAAGTGGGATGATGATTTTTTTTTTTAAAGATTTTTATTGGGGAATTGGGGGATGGGAACAGCGCTGGGGAATTGGGGGAAGGGGAACAGACAAGTTGCTGTCCTTTTGTTCTTCAGTCTAGTTGTGGAGGACGTTGCTTCACTAGCCCAAGTTGGCACCATCATTGTGCTCTTCCTGGACGAGGCACATCAGTCACCAGCTTCTGGACAGCCACTCACGCTGGCTGCTGACCCCTCACGCTGGCTGCTGGCTACACACGGTAGCCTATGGCAACCCACCGCAGCAGGGGTTGCAGCCTAAGCCGTCGCTGGCGATTCATGGCAGCCCAGCTCCAAGTTGAGCTGTTGTTCAGCATCTTAGCTGTGGAGGGCAGTGTCACTGGCCCTCATATGCGGGATCCGAACCGGGGCCCTCTGGT